TATATATATATATATATGAGTTGTGACTTGCTTTTCATTCAAAGTTACTAATAAAGTCAAAATTATAAAATAAATAAAAAATAAAAAGAGGATGTGTTCTTGACTAGATTGGTCCACTTTTTGACTGGAATGGTCCCAAGTGAAACAAGAAAATTGAAAAATGTTATTCAGGGTAGGTAGGAATCATGGTTAGGACTGATGAATTTAAAAAGCGATCTATAGAGTTTGACACATTTTCTATATTAATAAGTCGTAAAATAAAGTACTACAGATTTTGAATATAACCGACCCTAACTAGTTTGAAATTCAACGCGATTGATTGACTTTTAAGGTTAGCTGATTGGCATTATTTAGGGTGTTTAGGTAGAATAGGAAGAAAGATAATACAACACTTAAAAGACTTTGGTTCTTTATATTTTTAGAGTCAGAAAATTAACAAAGTGGTCAGAAATAAATGAATAACGAAAAAAGGATCAGAAATACCCGAGAACTATTGAAATTATAACAAAAATGTCATGCAATGTAATCCCACAAGTGAAGTATGTAAGGTATAGAGCAATTGTTTCTGACTGACCGTCAACAACCTTCCTCCTTTATTCAGACTTAAGACCAGCAATGTGAACGAGCTTAAACATGTTTAAAGTACAAGATTTGGACATAGAAACTTTGCTATGTACTGATAAAGAGCTATCAATTCAACTTCAATTCATTGATGCTAAAAAAAAAATGAAAAAACTGTACAAATGTTAATCAAAGCCATCCTTCAAAACTTTGATAAAAGATGATTAATTAGGCTAAATGAAGCCATCTTGTACAAATAAATCAAACATGAATGAACGAATAAATAACGATTTTAGTTAGTTTGTTGCATCTACTTCTCCGTCTGTAGTCAGAGGTCATGATACTATAAACGAACAAATGAATGTGACTCGTGGTCCTGATCGAGCTAAAGAGATGGGTCGGATACTGAAACCTGCTTTCGAGGCATCATCAGCTGGTGCAAATGTAAAATGTTGCTTTAGTTAGCTGCTGCAATAGGTGTCCTTGGACTAGGAAGTCCCATATATGCAATCCTAGGAGAAAGACGAATCTTCGGGCTTGGTCTTGGTGAGGGGATCGGACCATACATGTTGAAACCTCCGTTAGCAACACGAGGTGACAAGTTAACTTGTTCAAGTGCTCGGAACTGTAGCTCTGTTGGATATTCCCTAACACAGCCAATACGAGGTCCGTTTCCTGTTGACCATTTTCGAGACAAACGTTTAGCAAAGCTAAACGATGTGTCTTCATGTTTCTTGTTTTCGCGTTCATCATCAGTTGTAGTGACCTCTGCTTTCTCCTCTGTTTGATCATTTGCATCAGAAGTGCTTCTCTTGGGTGATTCTTTAGTAATGAGTGGTTGGTGATTTGAGCCCTCGTTGTTAACTCTAAACGAATGATCATCATCGTCAACAGAACATCTCTGAAATGAAAAAAAATATCATCTTTGTTAGCAAATGTGTTTCTGTTTAGACATTTCATGACTATATAACATTTTACGCCACGAGGATGCATTACCTTAACGTTTGTAAGATCTACGCTATGCTCCTCAAGGAAAATAATGAATTCCCGGAAGTTCTCTTCTGTGGGGTGATAGTGTCCACTGTATGGCCAAATAGCCTTCAAAACACCATCATGAGCAACGAGTCTACCAGCAGCAGTGGTTGCACCACCTGATAGAAAACTCGAGTGTTGAAACACACCTTTTTTCTTTTTTCCTACGTACAATGTTCTTGTTGTGCTAAGAACAAAGATCCATTTTGAACCCTCTACTGTCTCCACAAAGACACCGTTTTGTTTATAGACGAGTTTCCCATCCTGAATAACTACTTCATACGATTCACGTTCTTTCTGAAACAGTTAAAGAACAATCATAAGATTCAATTATGTCATAAAATGGATCATTTTGCTGTTCTTATCATTTTTTATGATGAAAATCGCAGAATTTGGACTTACCGGTCCAAGATACTTGATGCATTGATGCTGCAGATTGGTCCTAGGACACTTCTCGAGATTTATTTCTTTTCCGTCTCCAACATCCAACCTACAATGAGAAATTGACAACGTAAAATGTCAGGTATGTTATATTTCAACTTACGGATACATCTACTAGACGTATTCAAAATCTTGGAACAAAACACTCACCAGTAGAAGAAAGGTTGAGAGCTTTCACTTTCGAACCAGATATCGTAGTAGAAGTGTAAATTGTGACCATACCGGTGTCGTGGATCAATCTACACAACATCAGAAGAAATAAACAATCAGTTTCGTGATCATTGGAACTCTTTTGAAGAATAAAGTGACTGAAATAATTCAAGATATCGAAAAAATATTCAAGAACTTACAGCTTCTAGCCAATGCTGCAGAGCAAGTTTCTGAGCCTTTTCATCTTTTGACAATCCTTTACCAACTTTGGCAGCTCGTGTACGTGCTCTAGCCCACCGCGATACAGCAGTTTCTGGTTTCTCCACGTTGAAGAACGAAACAGAACTCCGTTTGAGAGCTGCGAAATCCAAAGCCTTCCACCTATACATACATATATAACACAACCACTTCAATAAACCGGACAATACAACAAAGACATATACAGTATAATCCCACAAGTAGGGTCGGGAAAAACCGGACAATACAACAACAACATATTCAGATTTCAGTGTAATCTCACAAGTTCAGTCAGGAAAAAATGGACAATACAATAGACACATCAAATCAAGATTCTATTTTTCAAAAAATGTTAAGACCCCATAAACCAGACAATATAACAGAGTCATTGCAAATCAAGATTCAGTTTTTCAACAAAGTTAAGACCCCATAAACAGGACAATACAACGACAACATATCCAATGTAATCCCACGAGTTGGATCAGGAAAAAACGAACAATACAATAGACACACTAAATCAAGATTCGATATTTCAAATAAGTTAAGACCCCATAAAACAGACAATACAATCAAGATTCAATTTTTTCCAAAAAAATTCAGACCACATATACCAGACAACACAACGACAACATATCCAGTGTAATCCCACAAGTTAGGTCTATAAAAAAAAAACGAACAACACAATATAATAAAGACATTAAATCAAGATTCGAGTTTTCAATCCACATACCATAGTTCTTCAACCACAACAGCACAATCTGCAAGATTTCTTCTTGTCCTATAACTCTTATACACTTTCTGAAGCTTAACAGCAGCAGCATCAAGCTCACTAACAGGTCGTGGAGAAAACAGAATCGAAGGCTCGGATAATGAAACTGTTGCTCTCGTCTTTTTTTCGTTCCATTCTGATATATCTAAGTCTTGAACCAGATTCTTGAATGATAGAGTTGTCTCTAACATCAGTTTCTTTGGATCACAGTTCCTTAAATTTATCGAATTCTTCCTTGTCATCTCATCGATTCCATTATTCGATTGTACTATAGTTTCCAAATGTGTTCCTTTAAAACTATTCGATCGAACAGTCATCTCCCAAGTTCTTTTTAGCAAGATACTAAAAAGCCTTTTAACCTGCAAATTTGTTGGATAATTCCATTAAGCCAAACAAACAACAACAACAACAACAACAAACACATCTCGAAGTGGTAGAGTGTACGCAGATCTTACCCCTACCTCATGAAGATAGAGAGACTGTTTCCAAAAGAAACTCGATTCAAGAACAAAGAAAGAACTACAACAACAACAACATACACATCTCGAGAGGATAGAGTGTATGCAGACCTTACCACTACCTCGTGGAGATAGAGAGATTGTTTCCAAAAAAACTTCAGTTCAAGATCAAAGAAAGAACTACAACAACAACATACACATCTCGAGAGGATAGAGTGTATGCAGACCTTACCACTACCTCGTGGAGATAGAGAGATTGTTTCCAAAAAAACTTCAGTTCAAGATCAAAGAAAGAACTACAACAACAACATACACATCTCGAGAGGATAGAATGTATGCAGACCTTACCCCTACCTCATAAAGATAGAGAGACTGTTTTCAAATGACCCTCGATTCAAGATCAAAGAATGAACTAAAAAGAAAAATATTACTCACAAATATAACAAAATCATCAATTCATCATCTACATATTTTCTCTTCCTAACACTACTTAGAATTTTAAAAAAAACTTCAAATATTTCAAGTTCTTGAGCTAAATTATCAAACTTTTGGCCCTCTATGCAAAATTGAACAAAAACTTATCAGAGGCGGATTCAGGATTTAAACTTAAATGTTCAAATCTTTAATATTCTTATCACTAAACTCATACTACAAAACTATATGTTAAAACCCATCTTTTTTTTTTTGAAATTTTAGTAATTTCTTACATATATATTTATACTTTCATATCGAAGTTACATCCACCTCAGAAGCTTATCGAAACAGAGGCGGATGCATAACCAGTATTTTCGATACGAAACATAGATATATGTTTGAAAAAACATTAAAATTCTCTTGAGCTAAATTATCAAACTTTTGGTCAAAAACTTACAAAAGATTAAACTAAAGCCCATCCAAACATACCAAAACTCAATATTTTCAATGCGAAACATACGTGTGAATTATACCAAGAATGTGTTTAGTATTAAGAACCTTAAAACTCGAAAACAAAAAACAAAACCCCATGTCCTAAATTAACAAAAAAAGATTGGAAAAAAGTAAATTACCTGAAATTTCTCAAAATATTGTAAAGATGAAAAAAAAAATCCCAACTTTTTTTTTTCTTCAAATGAACTACAAAGATGTCTATGAATATGACTAACTATCTCATTTGATGTACTTTATATATGAAAAATGAAAAAAAAAAAAAAAAAGCCGTGGATTTGTAGAAAATGAATATTTAAAAAAAAAATTGAGTCAAATAGTTCGTCTACATATGGAATAGCACGTGGAATGAAAAATTGTACAGTGAATTGCAGACAGCTAACTAAGTTAACTGAGAATTTACTTGAATTACGAAACGTGTCGATAATAACATATTCAGTATAATCTAATAAATAAAGTGCAATAAAAATAAAATATATACGGATCTTATTGTTATATTTGTGATTGTTTTTAATAGATCCTCGATACAAAAGAAAAAAAATTGAAATAGGTTGCAAGAAAAATATGACCGCGTGTAAGATAATTAGATATTCCCTTTATCCCAATTTATATAATACATTTTTCATTTTAATGAAACAACATCAACGTTATACGCAATGGAATCCGGAGAGAAAAGGGTGTACACAAATTTTACTTGTATCTTTATATGGTGTTGTTTTCAATAGATCCTTGACTCAAAAGAAGTTTTTTAAAAAATAAATTGTCACAAGAAAAATATGACCAGAAGATATTTTCTATGTCCCAATTTCTGTGTTAGTTCATTCATAAAAAATGTCACATTTTTATAATTATAAATAATTTAATTTTAATTTTAATTTTAAAATTCTTCTTTTAATTTATTCTTAATGAAACGATTTGTAATCTTTCAAATATCTAAGATTTGTTAGGCCACAGTTTTTTTAAGTTTTTTCTTTTCTCTTAAACTTTGTGTAAAATAAAATAGTGTCACATAAATTAAGACGGATGGAATACAAACGGATGGAATACAAAGCAAATGAAGAAAAAAAAAATTAAAAATCTTGAATGTGAATGGAAAAAATTTGAAAGAAAAAGAAAATTTGGAATTTGTGGGTTGATTTTTATAACTTTCGTAATGTTCAAGTTTGAACCCCACGAACTAATATTTTGATCAATTCAAACATTTGGAAAATTTGAAAAACTTTACTTTTTTGTTTTGAAAAAGAAAAAAAAAAGGAAAGTTTTTTGTCCTCCTTTGTACTACAAAAAAATCAGAATATAAAGATTGGAATTTTAAGTGGTCAAAGAAAGTAAGCTTTCTAACAAATTTTAATTTTATATTTTTTACTTTTTGGTGGAAAGTAATGTTTCTATGTAGCTTCTTTCCATGAAAAAACACATTGAGAAAATAGGGTTTTTGTAGTCTTAGATTTTACTTTTAGTCGAGTTACAACTTCTAAAAGTCAACTACTATAGATCGATCTCATTGGTATAGTTGAGATTTCTTCGTTTTTAATCAGAAGGTTTGAGTTTTAGCTATTGAGATGGAGAATCTTTTGACTCGAAGTGTTTTATTCCCTTTTAGTGGTCTCATTTAATGAGAAATTAAAGGAAAACTTGATGTGACTTATAAAGTTATTGTCATGTGACCAAGAGTTTGTCATGCTCGAATTATAGAAACAACATTTTGCACTCTTGCAGAAATGTACGTAGGGTAAAATTGTGTCCAATAAAATTCATCATTTTCAAATTCTACACATAGCGAAATCTTAGTATATCAAACTTTTCAATAGACTAGATTCATCTAATATATAAAATTTAGATTAACCGGGTTCATCGATAATTTCTAATATCCTGTAATTTTTAAAGGTGAAATTTAGCTTGTTGGACTAATGGGGCTATAAAAATAATATAACATATGGTGCAACTAATCCCTACCAAATGTAAATAGCATAAATAGTGTATACTAGCCACCTTTCGACGCTACTATTAAATAGTTCCAAATTTCACAAATAAAACTTAAGTATATAATTTTAAAGCTTCGCTCGATGAAATTTACAACTTTATTAGTATACTACTTTTTATTCTTATTTTTTCAATTACATGAACATAAATCCGATTTGTTACATTAGTAGCTACTATTAGATATTAATAACAATAACAAGTTTAGTATAACTTCATAAATGGGATTCGAAAAACATAAGATTACAAAATCTCACTTTTATCTTTACGGAAATAGAAAAGTCATTTCCAATTTACCCTCTGATGATAATGTGAACGAGCTCACGCGAACGCAGTTACTTTTATCTTTACGGAAATAGAAAAGTCATTTTCGATTTACCCTTTGATGATAATGTAAACGAGCTCATGAGAACGCAATCACTTTTACCTTTACGGAAATAGAAAGTTATTTCCAATTTACCCTTTGATGATAATGTAAACGAGCTCATGCAAATGCAATCACTTTTACCTTTACGGAAATAGAAAGGTTATTTCCGATTTACCCTCTGATGATAATGTGAACGAGCTCACGCGAATGCAATTACTTTTATCTTTACAGAAATAGAAAAGTCATTTCCGATTTACCCTTTGATGATAATGTGAACGAGCTCATGCGAACGCAATCAATTTTATCTTTACGAAAATAGAAAAGTCATTTCCGATTTACCCTCTGATGATAATGTGAACGAGCTCACGCGAATGCAATTACTTTTATCTTTACAGAAATAGAAAAGTCATTTCCGATTTACCCTTTGATGATAATGTGAACGAGCTCATGCGAACGCAATCAATTTTATCTTTACGAAAATAGAAAAGTCATTTCCGATTTACCCTCTGATGATAATGTGAATGAGATTACGCAAATGCAATCATTTTTATCTTTATAGAAATAAAAAAGTTATTTCTAATTTATCTTCTGATGATAATGTAAACGAGATCATGCGAACGGATATTGATAGGTTGTCAACTACTTCTGCGGTTTTGGTTGATGAAAGGGGCCAACACGTTATCGAGTATGCTGATGTTGCATTTTGTCTTTTTATCTAAAATTCTCCATGTCCATAATGATGAAAATGACTGATTTACCCTTATTATATTTGACTTTTATTTATTTATTTATAGTAAGTAGTAGTAGTTGATGAACTTTAATGAAAACAAAATTTTTATTTATTTATTTTAGTGTTCATTTAATAATGTGCAATTGGGGGAGTTGGTAGTTACAAAAATAAATGAAAGTGGAAAAAAGTACTTTTAGTACAATTTGATGGGAAATTCAAGTTGTTTTGTTGTCGTGGTATCTCATTCGATATTAGATATTTATATTAAAATTTAATTAAATTTAAATTAGTGCGTTTGTAGCACCCATTTCTGAAAACGACGTTTTCAATAAACATTATCTTTTCTCAAGGGATCGAATTCAAGTTCGTTCTTGAATGTCAATTGTTAGATGTGACTTATTATCAGCTTATACATTTTTTTTGTTATTCGGCAGCCGCTACCCTACAAAAGTGTACAAGATAAATCTTGCATCAATATAACAATCTGCAAATTATACATGAGAGGTTAATCACACTAGATAAGTCTCGTGTGATGAGTTCAATCAAGAAAGGGGGTCTCGTACCTTCCTTTTTGGGAGATTCCATGTTCAACTAATTCAGTTACTCTTATGAGTGTTGTGTTATATAATTTGATTATTTCGAAATTAGTGGTAGTTTAATTCATTTTTAAAAACCACTCCCTATTATAATTTCTCTATTTCGTAGTTTGAATTCGAGACATCACACCTCCTATTTAATTGTTGGTAAGTGATATTTGATCTTGCTTAGTAAAAATAATTCAAAATTAAGATAAATAATTAGATAAAGCTTTCTCGATATATCTCTAGTGTTATGTGCACATAATACACTCATAATAAATTAATCTTAGTGATGATAATTGAATGATTGACCTATTTTTTATTTATTACTATAATACTAATATTACTTATTCCATTCCGATTATTGTTTAAATTCTTTTTATGCTC